TGTTCTGATTATTAATGGATATTGCAGCTATTTCTTCTAATTTTGAGTTGTGCCACATCAGCAAATGAAGGTCCCAAAAGATTTACTTTGTCCACCTCATTAAATTCTACTCTATTCTGAGGAAGCAGCTCTTCCCCAGTCATATTCTGAGTACCTTCCGACTTGAGGGGCTCGTCTTTTGGCATTATATTGGACACTGCTTCTGAGTTATTCATAAAGTTTCCAGTAATCTATCACACAGTGTTTCACTGCTATTTATAAAGTTTTCATTGGCCAGTTCTTTGAGAAGTGGATAGCCCCTTTCTTCTTCCAAGACTTTCTTAGTCTGGAAGCTCCACTGAAACCTATCCACCATGGGTGACCCTGCTGGTATTTGAAATACCATTGGCATAGACTCCAGCCTCACAGCAACCCATAAACCAACACAGTATGACAAACTGACTGATGAGTGGTTGTTATCTCTGCATACATATGTGCTAATATATTCATACTCATATACTTACATGCTTATACATGAATTTGTGTAACCACACAATTATTTTTTGTATTGGTTGTTGTTTCCAAATTACATTTGTCATATCATTTCCAAAAACATCCTTTTCTTTTGTGCACTTCATAGGGACCTCATTTACCTTAGTCATACTGTGTGCGGTTTACCCATGTTTGGTGCTGTCTTTCCCATCATCAAAACTAACAATTGTCTTCTATATTGAAAGCATTTCCCCCCTACCTCCCATCTCAGATAACTATCAATTAATATTGGTATATATCTCGATGTATCTATTTTGTCTTTCTTATCATAGTGTGATCAGACAACATTTATTCTTTTGTGATTGACTTATTTCACTCATCATTCTATCCTTTAGTATGATCCACATTATACAATGTTTCAAGGATTTATCATCATTTTTTATAGCTGCATAGTATTCCATTGTTCATATGTACTACATTTTGTTCATTCATTCATTGATGGGCACTTTGATTCTTTCTATCTTATTGCTATTGAGAATAATGCTGCAATGAACACAGGTGTTCATGTGTCTATTCATGTCAGTGCCATTAGATTTCTCGGATTTATATCTAGAAGTGGGATTGCTGTATAAAAAGGTATTTCTATTCCTAGCTTTTTGAGTAAAAACCAAACTGTTTGCCACAATGACTGTGCCATTTTTAGGCACATAAGTAATGTATAAGACTCTCATTCTCCCCACAACCTTGTTAGCATTTGCTGACTTCTGGTCTAGAGTTAGTCTTACATATGTGTACTAAAATGCATTGTGCAAGAATGTTCATGGCATTATTGCTTGTATGGTAATTGAACAGGGAACAAATATTTAACAATAAGGAAAAAAAAGGTGAATATATTGGGAAAAACTGTTACAGTGTAATACTATAGAGCAGTGAAAGTGAATCAAAGCATGCTAGATATATTATGATGAGTAAATGTCAAAAATAAAAGTAAAAATATCAGGTGTCAATAAATATACCTAGTATGATGCTTCTTATATAAATGTTAAAAATGTGGAACACAATACATGTATTTAATAGTCAATAACCAAAACCCACTGCCATGGAGTCAGTTCTGACTAATAGTGACCCCCACTGGGTATCCAAGTTGGTAAAATCTTTACAGAAGTAGATTGCTCCATCTTCCTTCCACTGAGTGGCTGGTAGGTTTGAACTGACAGCCATCTAGTTAGCAGTCAGATGCCTTAGGCGCTTTACCACCAGAGCTCCGTTTGATAGTCAATAAGTAATTACATGTATGGGAATGAACATCACCAAATTGAAGATAATTATATCCTCATGAAGTGGGGGATGGGATCGAGGAAGGATAAGCTAGGGCATTTCAATAATATTTGTGATCACATTTCTGCTAGGGTGGTAGTTATGTTGTTGTTGTTGTTATATCCTATTGAGTCGGACCTGACTCATAGCGACCCCTCCTTGGGTTTCCGAAAAGGTATCACTATGGAAGTAGATTGCCCAACCTTCTGAGGTATGGCTGATGGGTTTGAGCCAGGAGCCTTCTGGTTAACAGTCAAGTGCCTTCGGCACTACGCTATCAGAGTTCCTAATGGTGGTAGTTATAAGATATTTGAAATATCATTTATACTTTTTATATGTCTGAAAATAAAATAAAGCACAGTAAAAATCATATTTCTTTCCCTAATTATATGCAAGCTAGTTGAGAGACAAAGCAGTAAGAATATATTTGCAATATGTGGCCTTCTAGTAATAAATTTACAAGGTTATAAACTTACGGAATACTGATTATGTATTTTCCAGGTATCCAAGGGTCTGGGATATTGTTGTGATTAGAGTTCCTAATCCAGGCAGATGGGAAGTTTGCTCTATTGGGGAATGAAAAGGAGTGGGAATTGTGAAGATTGTCTAGAGAAAATATGAGTATGAGCTTTGGGGACAGAAAGAGGCACAGATCATGAAAGAGAGTTTGACATGTCACATAGGTCACTGTGAATGTTCAAAAGCAAATGGTATTCCTGAAACAATTTTTGAAAAGAGGTCAACTGAAACTTTCTGTTTGTCAACATCAGCTATCTCCTGTGTGGTAAGTATCTAGGAAATTCTTGTCATAATTTCTGAAGCAGATGAACCATGCCATACTTTTTCAAAGATAGAAAAATCTAATTTGAAGTTTTATCGAAAGTTACAAAAAGTGTTTAGTTTTCCAGGAAAAGTAAATGTCATAGGTGTTCACAGTGGGCTGGGCTTTGAGGGAGGACAGCTGGAAAGGAAAATTTGCATAAAAATTTATCATTTAAAAAAAAAAAGAGACTGGCCTGCATAAACTGAAAGTGGAATTTTTCTTGTAAGCATTAAGAACACAACCCAGAGACCCTGATAATTTCCCTATTCAAATGTCATTATCTGGTTGACCCTTAGCATCGTCATTCATTCAGTTTTTGAGGGATCACTGGAAATCATTTACTCAATCCAGATTTTTATAAATGATTTGATGTTTTCATAAGTACATAGCCTTTTTAATCTATCCTTTTTACCAAGCATAATTTTCATCTAGTGAACTTGCCAATTGCTGAGATGTTTATTTTCCAATGTGCAGTGACTGTGGTTTTGTGCTGAAAGGACAGTTTCTGAATTTCCAATCTCAGGTGTATAATTAAACATTTTAATTATCTATAATGTAAGTGGGAGCTCTGGTAGCATAGTGCCTAAGGCACTTGACTGCTAACCAGAAGGCTGGTGGTTCAAACCCACCAGCCACTCCTCGGAAGGAAGATTGGGTAATCTACTTCCATAGTGATACTGTCTTGGAAACTCAAGGAGAGATCGCTACAAGTCAGTTCCGACTCGATGGCACATAACAACAACAGTATAATGTAAGTGTTTGTACAAACATAACACTGAAAAAAGTTTCACACTGTGATTTTTAGAGGAGTTCCTGGGTGGTGCAAATGGTTAAGTTCCAAAGCGTGGAGACTTGAATCCAGCCAGAGGCACCACTGGAGACAGGTGTCTGGTGATCTGCTTGTGAAAAGTCACAGCCTTGAAAATCCTATGGAGGAGTAGCTCTACTCTGGACTCATGGGGTCACCATGAGCCATAATCAACTCTACTACAACTAACAATGGTTATCAGTATTAGTCACAAGTATGAATTGTATATCTCATCTCAATGGAATGAGTTCTCCCATCTTAAGAGAGATATAGAGGAGATACAGAGATAGAGGCGGTGGAGAGACAGAGGGAGAGAGAGAGCAGGGAAAACAAGAGGGAAGGATGGAGAGAAAGAGGGAGAGAAAAATAAAAAGATATGCAACTATGTTATAGTATTAGAAATAGTGATAATGGAGGAATTGATCATTACCTGGTCTATAAGAATACTTTACATATAACATGAGAGAATTTATTTGTAAAACATTCATATTTTAAATATTCTTACATCTTATAAAAGTACTTACATTACAATTAATTTCATGAAATAAACTGTATTGAAATCATCATCCCCAACTCATTCTTACAATTATTTTTACTTAATAAAGTTTACAATTATATTGGGTAACCTCTAAAATAAATGTATAACTTGTTTATTTCATGACAAACCAGAATACAAAATGCTTAGGTAAAATATATTTTAATGAATATTATTGTTCCTTGAGCTTATTATAGGATTAAAAAGAAGAGTTATATTCTATAGTTCCTTTGGGAGATCTGGGGGCGTAGTGCTTAAGGCATTTGACTGGTAACCAGAAGGCTGGCGGTTCAAACCCAAACTCCTTGGACGGAAGACTGGGCAATCCAGAGATGATGACTCATGCAGATCTGACAGTGTGCTTAATAATTGTCTCTCTCTCTCTCTTTTGGCTAGTGGGAAGGCTGCCTGCTCATTTGTTCTTGAGATATACTTAAAACAATCTACCAGACGCTAGGCATGCATCTGCCACCTCTCTAAGCAGTTCTAAACTATGTTGTTGTTGTTATGTGCCATTGAGTCGGACCATTCTAAACTAGAGAATCCAATAAAGCAGTTTGTCTGAGACTTGTTTCACCTGAAGGAGACAAGATAAAGTAAATGTATCCTTTTTTTCCACAAAGTGTGTAATTAATTATGGAAATATATATGCTATCCCATTATCGGAGTGCCTGGGTGACACAGTTAAGTGCTTGACTACTAACCACAAGTCTGGCAGCTCTAATCCATCCAGAAGTACTTCCAAAGAAAGCCTGGTGACCTACTTCTGAAAGGTTGCAGTTGAAAACCCTAAGGAAATAAGTTCTGTTATGACACATGGGGTCTTCTCAACAGCAATGATTTATTTTAGTTTTATCCCACTGTAAATGGCAAAATTTATTGACAAGCTAAGGGAATGATTGATCTGATGCAAAATTTACTTCTTACAATGTAACTCTCTCTCTTTTTGAACCTGTATTAGAATTTATTTTTGTTGGATTTTTATAGATTTCTTGTTGTGTCTAATAACTTTACTGTTTTCAAAGGCATGCCATTTTACTTTTCAGGAATATACAATAGATGTTTTCTTTCGACAAAAATGGAAAGATGAACGGTTAAAATTTAAAGGTCCTATGAATATTCTTCGACTTAACAATTTAATGGCTAGCAAAATATGGACTCCAGATACCTTCTTTCATAATGGGAAAAAATCGGTAGCTCATAACATGACAATGCCAAATAAACTCCTTCGAATCCAGGATGATGGCACTCTGCTGTATACAATGAGGTATATTTTCAAGTTTGATATCTTACATTTAAATACTGAGAAATCAATGTGCTAATAATCAGCTAATCTAGCTGTCAAGTATTAATGTAAGTTTAAGATTTTAATAACTATTCATTGAAACACCTATAATATGCTTTGCTGTTAGACAATTAAAGATAAAATAGCATTTACTCTCATCTTAATAGTAAAACTTAAGAATTATCTCAATTAAGAATTGATTTATTATTCACACTTTAATTTGAGTTCAAATGCCATTATTTAAAATTTGTTTATACCAGCATGCAATTTTATTTTAAAATCTTCCTATCAGGTCCTCCTTAAAATTTTAGTGGTTTTTAAGCAAGCATTAACTTAATTAAATATTTTGATTCTTTCTTTATGAAGTTACTCTAAAGGAAAAAGTATATTTTTAAAGTCGGAGATGCACGTTTTACTTATTAAGGTTTACAATTACATTGTATACCCTTTTAAATATGTGTAACTTCATTTTATAACATACCAGGATACAAAATACTTAGGTAAAGTATAATTTTGATAAATAATATTGTTCCCTGAGCTCAGTTTTTATTTATGGCAGTGTCTTCTGAAGAGTCATCTAAATATGAAAGAACAAAAATGTGTTCAAATGTTAATTATCCTAGTTTGATGCTGTTATGGACGCCTTACCCTCATCATTAATTCTGCTGACAACACTGATATGTTTTATTTTAACTTGCCTATTTACTTAAAGAGGGAAATTTTGACTTTTAGGCTTACAGTACAAGCTGAATGTCCAATGCACTTGGAGGATTTTCCAATGGATGCCCATTCATGTCCTCTGAAATTTGGCAGCTGTAAGTACAAGGGATGAAGGTACATGTTTTCAGTCAATGATATCAGAGTTACCGGCAGTGCTTAAATGTGTTGTTTGCCCTCAAGGAATTAATTGGTTAGCCCTGTGATACTTCTCAAATATCCTTATATTTTAATCATGGTGCTTAAATTATCAATTATTTTATTAAGAAAAGGACATCATGTATTTACAAGCATAAAACTAGACAGTGAGCTCCTTGAAGGTCAAAGCAATGTCATTTACTTTCTTTTCTAAGTGCTCACACTTTACAAAACATGATAAATGTTTTCTTTGTGTCAAGTGAAAATGAATGATAAAGGAAAAATTCTGTTGCTTATTAAAGTGACAATCAGCGTGTTGAAAATAGCAGGCACAGAAGCAATTGTCTACTTTCTAACTAATTGAGAGGATTTTTTTTTAATTTCGTAAAATAAATCTGAAGGAGATGATGTAGCTGGATACTATATGCACGGCCCTTCTGTGTATATGGAAAATTGCATAAAAGGCTCTGTGCCTTTTTCATTCTTTAGGTCACTGGTTATACCTGTATGCCAACAACAGCATTCACACTCCCAGAATAATTGAAAAGAGGGAAGGTCAGGTCTTCTCCCTAGGCCCATAGGCATTCAGCGCAGGTTCAAGATAAATTCATGGACTGGCTAAGCAGCTTCTCTTTATGTGAGAGCCTCCCATAACTTGACCTTTTTAGAAACTGTGCTCTTTCTGGCACCCCTATCTTTGTCCATTCTGGGGAGCTTTTGACTTTCTGTTCTGGTGTTGAATAGAAATGCAGCTCTCTTATTTTATAAAAATATGTGTGACCAAAAAATGTGTCTTATCCTCAAGGGGGAAAAAAGGGAAGAATGATTTCTAATAGGCATGCAAAACCTTCTGATTATTTTGGTGCCCATGATTTTTGTGAAATTAGAAGTTTAATCTTGTTTGTTCTGTACATTCTTACAAAAGGTGCCAGTTCTCAAGTTTCTTTGAGAATCTCTTTGTTTGACTACAAAGCCTTCTTTTATTGTCATGGAAACCAGTAGTTCAATGCTGGCATCTCTTCCAAAAAAATAAGATAGTCAGTCATGTTCTAGTATAAACATGATGCTCAGAAAATCACAGCAGATGCAGAGGAGAAAAACTCATTTGCATCACATAAGTGGAATTAAAGAGAAAATTGAAAAGCCTTAACACTAAACAAAAGATGCATTTAAGATGCAGTAAAGATGTGAGAGGGAAAGGCATTTTTCAGTGTATAAGGTATTACCATTAAGATATCAAATATAAATGATGTGAGTTGCAATTCTGAGCATAAGAAAAATGCACCAGAGAAATACTTAAAATGAAATTTAAAGTATCCCTTATGTTGCATGTACAGAGTAGTGGAATATTGTATTCTTGAGAATTTAGCAAAAGACCCACTGCCACTGAGTCAATTCCAACTCAAAGTGACCCTACCCTACAGTAGAGATGCCTCATAGGGTTTCCAAGGCTGTAAATCTTCATGGAAGGAGACTGCCTCCTCTTTCCTGTGGACCAGCTGATGGGTTTGAACTGTTGACCATTTGGTTAGCAATCGAATGCCTTAGCTACTATTCTACAAAAGCTCCTTGAGAAGTTATCAGTTAAGGTTTTTCTGTATCTAGAAGGGATATGGGTAACACACAAAGTTTATTGTCACACAATTTCTGCTTAAGCCATTGTTTTTTATTTTGTTTCCTTCATTTTTATTGTTCTGAGACAATGAATAAATACTTTGTGTATTCCATTTATTTCTGAAATACTTGTCCCGGCCATAGTAGGTGCTTGATGCATAAATGTTAAACTTGTAGACTCTTGTGTGGAGTGATTGATGAACAAGCCAAGTCAAACTTAAAAGAGTTGGCACAGCAAAGTTGAATATAATCAGTCATTATTTCACTTCTACTGATTTATTCCTCTTGTTGAAAAGTCCTTTCAGCATATACAAAATAATAATTGATAGAATTTTTGGTACTGTGTCTTCATCATCAAATAAAAGAAGCATCTTTTCATCATATTTACAATTTGAATTCTGTTTTGTTTTCATTTCTGTTGTCTCCACCTTTATATTTTTCTTTAAGTTGATTTAAAACTTCTTCTAAGTCTAGGTATGGAGTTCTGGCAGTGCTTAAAGCTAACCAAGCACTGCTAACCAGAGGCTGCCGGTTCAAACCCACCAGCCATTCCACAAAAGGAAGACCAGGCAATCTATCTGCATAAAGATTTACTGCCTCAGAAACCCAGTGGGGATTGCTGTGAGTTGGAATTGACTCAATGGCACTGGGTTATCAACTCGATGGCAGTGGGTTTGTTTTTTTTCTTTTGGTTTAAGTCTAGGTATATCCATGCATTAACCCCAAATAAAATGCAATTGTGCTTTGGATAAAAAATTAATATTGACAAAGAAAAAGAATCTGTTGATATATATCTGATATTTAAAGCAAGCTAGGGTTTTTAATAGATTTAAGTCAATTATTTAGAGAGAGAATTTGTAATAAAACTTGTAAAACAAACCACTTTCTCTCCTTTTGTACTTTATTGAGAAGCATTTCAATGTCCTCCTGGTTTTTGCCTGTGTTAGCATACCTGGAGACCTCTAATCCACTTTGCAGAATTTTCTATTCTATCTTCCCTCATCAGACCTAAAATCTGAAAGAAAACAAAACTAAAACTGATTCATGTCTAACTAATTAAATGTGGTAACTGCTTTTTTAAAAGATCTAAGAAGGATTTGTCAATTAAAAAAATGTTTTCTTGGTCTCTTCTCCAGTTTTCGATCTTTTCTAATAGTACATAACAGAGTTAAAACATTATGAGTTTACTCATGTATCTGGCAACAATGAACTGAGCAATTTTTTGTGTGTCTGGCACTGTACCAGGAACTAGAGTTATAGACATGAATTGGGCAGACTCTCAGCCCTTCAGTATCCCATTAGGTAATTTCTTAAAAGTGGCATAAAATTTTTATGGTTTCATTTTCTGTTATTCATACTTAAAAGTTGGATTCAAATACAAGAGTAATGAAATTGTTCTACTCTTTACAATAAACTTCATAAGTTACTAAGGAATTTATAACTACTTAATATCATGAGACCCTTGTGATGTAAAGTAGCCTATGTGATACGTTCTTTTGATCTATTGAAGTCTGTGCCATTTGAAATTTGATTGAAGAGGATATGTATTTATGGGGTAAATTTTGTCCAGTAATATAAAACAAACCACTATAAGAGTTATCCACATTACAAATGTATTCTTTATTTAATACTCTCAGCCATCTCATTAGTGAACTAATTGAAATAAAATAGTTTAGACCTTAAAATAAATAGAACTTACTCATTTATATGTGTGTGTGTGTGTGTGTGTATATATATATATATATATACTATTTAGAAAAAAATATATGCATATATAAAAATACACATAAGGCAACACATATGTGCACATGTCTTCAGAATCCCATTTCATTAATTGTCTCACAGAATATAATTTATTTATTTTAAAAACTACCACTAGTTGCCATCTATGTGATTCTGACTCATGGAGAACCAGATAGGTATAGAGTAGACCTCCACTCCATAGGGTTTTCATACCTGTGACTGTTAGCCAGCATATTGCCAGGCCTTTTTTCCAAGGCACCTCTGGATGGCTTTGAACTGCCAACCTTTTGGTTACTAGCAGACTCCTTAGCCATTTGTGCCGTGCAGAGACTCAATTTACTTACAGGCTGTTATGTTGTCATCAAGTTGATTATGACTTATAGCAACACCATGTACAATGGAATGAAACACTGTCCGATCCTGTGCCATCCTCATAGTTGATATATTTGGACCCATTGTTGCAGCCACTGTGTCAATCCATCTTTGAGGGTCTGCTTCTTTTTTGCTGACCTTCTTTACCAGGTATGATATCCTTTCTGAGGGACTGGTCCCTCTTGATAGTATGTCCAAAATACATGAGATGAAGTCTCACCATCTTTGCTTCTAAGGAGCATTCTGTCTGCACTTCTTCCAGGAAAGATTTGTTCATTCTTCTGGCAATACATGGTATATTTAATATTCTTTGCCAATACCATAATTCAAAGGCATCAATTCTTCCTTGCTCTTCCTTTTTCATTGTCTAGCTTTTGCATACATGTGTTGTTGTGTCTACGTGCCATCGTATGAGGTGATTGAAAATATCATGGGTTGGGTCAGGCTCACTTTAGTCTTCAAGGTGACATCTGTGCTTTTGAACACTTAAAGAGGTCTTTTGCAGTACATTTGTCCAATGCATTATGTTGTTTGATTTCTTGACTGCTGCTTCTATGGATGTTGATTGTGAATCCAAGTGAAACGATATCTTTGATAACTTCAGTTCCAAGTGAAACGATAACTTTGATAACTTCAGTATTTTCTCCGTTTATCATGATGTTACTTAATTGGTCCCATTGTGAGGATTTTTGTTCTCTTTATGTTGATTTGCAATCCATAGATGTAGGCAACTACATGTAAATGAAAACAGTATTGCACTGATATTAATAGTTAGAAATGGCATTCACAAAATCAGACAGCATTACAATATGTCACTAAAAGACCACACAGAAAATAAGACATGAGCTCATAAACATATATTCCCATTATTGATACTTTAATGGGAATTAGTTTGGATCATGAGTGGTATCTGAACCACCTCAACGTAAAAAATAGTTAAAACAATTGCTATTGATTGACTCTGACTTTGGGTACTCCATGTGTGTCAGAATAGAACCGTGTTTCACAAGGTTTTCCATGGTAGATTTTTTGGAGGTAGACTGCCATGCCTTTCTAGGTGGATTTCATAGGTGGATTAAACTTTGACCTTTTGGTTAGTAGCTATGCACATTAACTGTCTGCACCACTCAGGATTAAACTGGAAAATTTATATTAAAAAAAAAAAAAAAAAACACTGCCATTGAATCAATTCCAACTCATAGCAACTCCTCAGGTTTCCGAGGTGGTATCTCTATGGAAGTGGATTGCTCAGTCTTCCTTCTGAGGAGTGGCTGGTGGGTTTGAGCTGCCAGCCTTCTAGTTAGCAGTCAAATGCCTTAGGTGCTATGCCAACAGAGTTCCCCAAAATTTATATATGGAAGGGAAATTAGCTTTCCACTGGCCTGGAGAGCTGGAGGCAGGAATATTGCCAGGGGTAACTGAATTTTTCTGTCCCTTGATAGAGAATATGACTGTAGTAGCAAGTGTTGCTCAAGAACTAAGAATTCCTAATAATTCAGAAAATTCCCATAAGCAAACATAAATATTCTTCAGAAGGGCATACATATAGCAAGAATTGTCTGTTTATTTAACTCTGGCATGAGCCTGCCTGCATACAGCCCGCAGATCATTCAGGGGAAAGGAAAATGCCAGGGTCAGGGAAAGGCTAAGATGGGATGTGTTGCCTATGTGTCATCTCTAGAAAGATCTCACTTCTATTAAGTTCTGCATCCTTGGCCAAACAAATTAAGAAATTTATACCTGGTCTCTGTGTATGCTGATCCATAGCTTAACTGAAATCCTGTGAAAATGCAGTCCTGTGAGATCTGTGTGCATTAATTCATTTAAAAATAATCATGTTTTGAAAAGGGTTTGGGTTTGCAACTTTATAAAACTGTAGCATTCTGACTTATTTTACATATTCTGAAATAATTAGTTCTCAGTCTCCTAATGAAAGGCATTATGTCATGATAGCTAAATCTTTATATTTTTAACTAGGTTGTTTTTATTTCCAGAAGCAAGTATGTCTGATTATGGCTGGTGTTTCATGAGTGTTTGCTGTTTCCAAGATCCACTCTTCAGCTGGACTTTGGACAACCATAACTTGTTTAGCACAGTGTCTTCATCTACTATTTTGGGGTTAATCATCTTTCCAAATGGTGGCAATAAAACTACACTCATGCTCATGATTGTATCTTTTTGTCTGCTTTGTAATCTTTGTAAATTCTGAGGACATATTTTTGTCCTAAAAAATGCCATCTATAAATATCAACTTTTTAATAAACATTGATTCTATGTGATACATAAGCTTTGATGCTGCGTTTTGTTGATGGGTCTTACTGAAGTGCTTACAAAGCTTTTTTTCCCCCCTGATTTCCTACAGATGCATATACAACCTCAGAGGTCACCTATATTTGGACTTACAATGCATCTGATTCAGTGCAAGTTGCTCCTGATGGCTCCAGGCTAAATCAATATGATCTTCTCGGCCAATCAATTGGAAAAGAGACAATTAAATCTAGCACAGGTTAGTAAAGTGGATCTAAAGAAGGAGCAGTTTGTGCAGAAGCTAATGGATTAAAGGCCTTTGTAATTAGCCAGATTGCCTAAAATCTTCTGCTCTTGTGGTCTAAGGACCAGCAGCATAGATCGTGTTTGGGGCTTTTTAGAAATTCAGAATCTGAAGTCCCACCCCTTAGCAAATCAAGATCTTCCTTTTAACAAGATTCACAGCAAATTCAAGTGCATATGAAAGTTTGAGAAACTCTGGCCTAAAAGATAAAACTTATCTAAGAAACGTATGTCTTCTCATACAAGTTAATTTTAACGTTTACTTTCCCATGAGTGTTACAGTTTCCCTGGTTTTCTAATTCTTTCCCCCCATCCTGGATAATATACGATTATGCAGCTGTTGATTTATGGATAATTACTGCTGGCCTGTGTGGGAAAGCTGATGCCCTCTCAAAGGACCCCTCATCTAAGAAAAGCAGCTGTGTAGACTAATTATCTTGCATCTGGCAATAATTAAAACTCATAGAGCAGAAAGGAAGCTAGCTATGAGGATCACATAGAACTGACTGACATGAATTACAACAAATGGGAAACCATGAGAGGTTCTGAACTGGTGACAGAGTTAAGGTGGAAAATCTGTGCCAGGAGATCAGCCTTTGCCAGATACAACCTGCTGTGGATTGAATTGTGTGCCTCAGAAGTGTGTGCTGTAAATCCTAATCCCCTGTTCTTGTGAATGTAATCCCATGTGGAGATAGAGATTTCTTTGTTATGACAATGAGACCGTATCAGTGTAGGTTGTGTCTTAAAACAATCCATACACAGGAGCAAAGAATTATAAATGGAGAAAGGTTAATGCCATGTGGCAATCACCAAGGAACCAATGGAAGAGGAGTTAAAAGAGACAGGACTCTCCCACAGAGCCAACAGAAAGAGAAAGACGTCCCCTGGAGCCCACACTCCGAATTCGGACTTCCGGTCTCCTACACTGTGAGGAAATAAATTTCATTTCACTAAAGTCAACCACTTATGGTATTTCTGTTACAGCAGCACTAAGAAACTAAGACATGGCCAGAGAATAATTCTTTAAGGAGCCAGAGAGGACTGGTTTAGAACAATCAGTGCAGAGGCATGAGGCTGGTACTAGTGGGGATAAAGGATAACCCATGTCGCAGAGAGCGTTTATGAATTCCTCAACCCCTTGGTCAAAAAGCATGATAGCGAGAAAAGTGAACACTGTAGACATGGGACATGCAGTTAAAGTGTTTTTGATAATATTAAGGTTCTTTAAATGCCCTTGAGATACAAATAAGACATTGAAAGGTGATGTATTTTTCATGGCATATTTGTGATAACGTCTTTTTTTTTTTTTTTATTATTAGAAACTGTTTCCCTAATCCCCTTCCATTTTCAAAATGTTCAGACTAATGATTATTACAGTTTCTTAAGCTTCTGAAATTTTTCTTCCAGGTGAATATACAGTAATGACAGCTCATTTCCACTTGAAAAGAAAGATTGGGTATTTTGTGATTCAGACATATCTGCCTTGCATCATGACTGTCATTCTCTCCCAAGTGTCATTCTGGCTTAATCGAGAATCTGTGCCTGCAAGAACCGTGTTTGGTGAGTGAAGAACTACACTGCTTTGTTGGACAAAACATTGTATTTCACAGCATGCTTTCCAAAGCCTTATTTCATTTGCCCTACAACAATGCTTTACAGTGTGTGGGGAGAAAGTATTGGTTTTACCTTAGAGATGAGGAAACTGAGACTCAGGTAAGATATAGTCAATACAGTCATTATCACACTGTTAAAGGATATAAAATACCCTACTCTTCTGGAAATAAACTAAGTCTTCTTTATGTTGCATCATACTGCTTGTTAACATTTGTCTCCATGTATATATAAGGAGACTTTTCTTGAGAGCTTTTACCTTAGAATATGGTAGCACCATATTTCTAGGCTTTCTGTGTTTATATGTTTATTTTGCTTTTGTTTTTAGATGAAGAAAGTGATTTTAGTACTTTAAAAGAATGGGGGGGGACTTTTTCACTTCCATTAGTGTGTCTGATAAAAAAGTTGATTTCGATTAATATCTTACATGCAAGTACAGTTAATGACATTTTAAATATATGAACTAGGCTGAAATATTTTGAGACAAAGTAGATCACTTTTGTATGTTTGGTCCACTCATTCACTTAGGAAAATTTTATTGAGAAACTACTTGGCCAGGTACTGCATGCAAATACAATACGACTAAAATACAATGGAGCCGGAGCAGCCCCCTAGGCCACAGCCCATAGTAACCTAACCCCGGGACCAGTGGAGGCCAGGTGTTTGTTTGTGTGGTAGTGTGTAGAGCCAGAGCCATGCACCGCCCCCCTGTGGCGACAGTAAGCCAGCCCCAGGACCAGTGGAGGGCAGGTGTTTGTTTGTGTGGTGGTGTGTGAAGCTAGAGCCATCCCTAGGCCTTAGGCCATAGTAAGCCAACCTCAGGAACAGCAGAGGGTAGATGTTTATGTGTTGTGTAGAGTCAGAGCTGCCACTCAGCTGCAGGCCACAGTAAGCTGGGCTGGGACCAGTGGAAGGTGAGTGTTTGCCCCTGGGGCAAGCTGGGTAAGTGAGCAGGGCAAGGGAGACCAGGAAATTAGCAGAGCAGTGTAGAACAGCTAGGGGGGATAAACTTATCTGTTAGTGGCTAAGACACTTGCCTGCTAACCAGATGGCTGGCGGTTCAAACCCACCAGCCACTCCCTGGAAGGAAGGTTGGGCAATCCTACTTCTGCAGTGATACTGCCTCGGAAACCCAAGGAGGGGTCGCTATGAGTCGGGGCCGACTCGACGGCACATAACAACAACAACAACAACATGATGGCTTGAGTAATTACTGTAAGCTTGGAGGCTGTGCCACTGGTGCTTCAAATGCGAGCAGGATTACCAGTGGTGGACAGGTTTCAGGGGAGCCTCTAGACTAAGACAGACTTGGAAGAAGGAGGAGGCTATCTATTTCTCAAAGAATTGGCCAGTGAAAACCTTATGAATAGCAGTGAAATACTGTGCAATATAGGGCCAGAAGCTGAGCCCCTCAGATCTGAAGGCACTTAAAATATGATTGGAGAAGAGCTGCCTCCTCAGAGGAGAGCCAAACTTAATGGTGTGCATAGAGGAAAGCTTTCAGGACCCCATTGCTGATGTGGCGCATCCCAAGATGAGAAGAAACAGCTGCAAACATCCATGAATAATTGGAACATGGAATGTAGTATGAATCTAGGAAAATTGAAAGTTGTCAAAAATGAAATGGAATGCATAAACATTGATATCCTAGGCATAAGTGAGCTGAAATGGACTGGTTTTTGCCATTTTGAATCAGACAACCATATGATCTACTATGCCAGGAATGACAAATTGAAGAGGAATGGCATGACATTCATCATCACAAAAAAACTGTTTCAAGATCTGTCCTGAAATACAATGCTATCAGTGATAGGATAATATCCATATGCTTACAAGGAAGACCAGTTAATACTACCATTATTCAAATTTACACACAAACCACCAAAGCCAAAGATGAAGAAATTGAAGATTGTTACCAACTTCTGCAATCTGAAATTGACTGAACATGCACTCAAGACGTGTTAATTATCACTAGTGACTGGAATGGAAAAGTTGGAAACAAAGAAGAATCACCGGTAGCTGGAAAATATGTGCTTGGTGATAGAAATGTTAATGGAAATCACATGATAGAATTTTGCAAGACCAACGACTTACTCATTGCAAACACCTTTTTTCAGCAACACAAACAATGGCTATACATGTGGACTTTGCCAGATGGAGTACACAGAAATCAGATTGACTACATCTGTGGCAAGAGGTGATGGAGAAGCTCCATATCTTCAGCCAAAACAAGGCCAGGAGCTGACTGTGGAACAGACTATCAACTGCTCATGTATACATTCATATGGAAACTGAAGACAATTAAAACAACTCCATGAGAGCCAAATTATGACCTTGAATATATCACTCCTAAATTTAGAGACCATTTAAAGAATAGATTGGATGCATTGGACACCAGTGACCAAAAAGCAGAGGAATTGTGGGATGACATCAAGAACATCATCCATGAAGAAAGCAAGAGGTCATTAAAAAGACAGGAAAAGAAGAAAAAAGCAAAATGGATGTCAGAAGAGACTCTGAAACTTGTCCTTGAATTGAGAGTAGCTAAAGCTAATGGAAGAAATGACAAGATAAAAGAGCTGAACAGAAGATTTCAAAGAGCAGGTCGAGAAGACAATTATTATAATGAAATGTGCAAAGATCTGGAGTTGGAAAACCAAAAGGGAAAAACACACTTAGCATTTCTCAAACTGAAAGAACTGAGGAAAAAAAATTAAACCTCACATTGCAAAATTGAAAGTTTCCATGGGCAATACATTGAATGATGCAAGAAACATCAAAAGAAGATGGATGGAATACACAGAGTCCTTATACCAAAAAGAATTGGTAGATGATCATTTCAGGAGGTGGCTTATGGTCAAGAACCAATGGTATTGAAGGAAGAATTCAAAGCTGCACTGAAGGTATTGGCGAAAAACAAGGTTCTTGGAATTGGCAGAATGCACATTGAGATGTTTCAACAAATGAATGTCCCACTGAAGGCACTAACTCATCTATGTCAGGAGATTTGGAAAATAGCTACCTAGCCAACTGACTGGAAGAGATCCATATTTCTACCCATCCCAAAGAAAGTTGATCCCACAGAATGCTGAAATTATCAAACAATATCATTAACATGCAACTAAAATCTTACTGAAGATAATTCAAAAATGGTTACAGCAGTATATAGAGTGATAACTTCCAGAAATCCAAGTTGGATTCAGAAGAGGACGTGGAACAAGGGATATCATTGCTTATGTCAGGTGGATCTTAGATGAAAGCAAAGAATCCCAGTAAGATGTTTACTTGTGTTTTATTGACTAGGCAAAAGCATTTGATTGTGTGGATCATAACTAATTGTGGATAACATTGAGAAGAATGGGAATTCTAGAACGCTTAATTGTACTCATGAGGAATCTGTACATAGATCAATACACTGTCATTCAAACAGAACAGGGTGGTACTGCATGGTTTAAAGTCAGGACGGGAGTGCATCAGGGTTGTATCTTTTCACCAAACTTGTTCAATCTGTATGCTGATCAAATAATTCAAGAAGCTGGACTATATGAAGGAGAACGTAACATCGGGATTGGGGGAAGGCTCATTAACAACCTGAGATACGCAGATGACACAACTTTGCTTGCTGAAAGTGAGGATGACTTGGAGCACGTCCTGATGAAAATTAAAGACTGTAGTCTGCAGTATGGATTACACCTCAATATAAAGAAAACAAAAATCCTCACAACTGGACCAATAAATAGCATCACAATAGATGGAGAAAAGATAGAAGTTGTCAAAGACTTCATTTTGCTTGGTTCTATAATCATTGCCAGTGGAAGCAGCAGTCAAGACATTCTCTTGCAAAAGACCTCTTTCAAGTGATGAAGAGCAAAGATGTTTCCTTGAAGACTAAGATGCACCTGACCTAAGCCACGGTATTTTCTGTCGCCTCATATGCATGTGAGAGCTGGACACTGAATAAGGAAGACCGAAGAAAAGTTGATGCTTTTCAGTATGGTGTTGGCAAAGAATGCTGAAAGTACCATGGACTACTAAAAGAACTAACAAGTCTGTCCTGGACAAAGTGCAGCCAGAATGCTCCTTGGAAGTGAGAATGGCCAGACTTTGTCTCACCTGCTTTGGTCATGTTGTCAGAATGGAGCATTCTCTGGAGAAGGATGTCATCCTGGGTAAACTGGAGCATCAGCAAAAGAGGGGAAGGCCCTCTACAAGATGGATTGACATGGTGGCTGCAGTGATGGGCTCATGTATAGTAGAGATTGTGAGATTAGCACGAGACCGGGCAGTGTTTCCTTCTGCTGTACTTAGGGTCACTATGAGTCAGAGACTACTCGACAGCACGTAACAACAACAACAACAACAAAATATAATTTCTGCATTGAATCAACTCGGTATAGTGGAGGACAGTACAATAACCAGACATGGAAAAAGAGGATGAAAACATAAGATGAAAGCATGAACATAGAGGCATACTCAAGATATTATAGAAGATAACAATATTGCTTTAGTAGTAGTTTCCCAGACAGATAAAATAGGGCAGGAATCACAGCCAGTGTCATTGAGGGACAAAAAGACATGATAAGTTCAGCAATGGAGAATTATTCCATGGTTAGTGGAAATACAGATAGAAATACAGTTTGAGGTCATTATGAGAATATGAGAAAAGCCTTCTAGGCCAGTTTTATACAATGTACCTTTATCTTACAGGCTGTAGTAGGCTACTATTGTGCTTTTAGGTTACATGTGTGTATTGTCCTTTAGAATAATGCCTTGCATCTACCAAGTACTATATTAAGGTTTGCTGGTCTTATTATTAATCTGATTCTAATTTTATTTTAGAAAGATCTGGTAGCTTTGAGGAGGATATATTGAAAGAATGAATTAAAAGATGAACATACCAGATAGGAGTCTACTGAAATAGCCTAGGTGAGACAGATTGAAGTTATCGC